CAATGCCTCATGAGACATCGAATTTGCCTTCTTTGCTTGGGGTCGTCATGGGCGGCGCACGCCTCCTCCGCCTTGATGGTCGTGGCGGATCGGCACGAACACGGGAGGAGGGGATCATGGCGGAGAGCAAGCGGTTGGTGGGGGCACTCCTCCTTGGTGGTCCGTGGGGAAGTATGGTATGAAGGGAAGAGGGCGCCAGGACGAAAGTGAGGTGAGTCTCATCCGGTTATAAAGTAGAGGGCTCCAGCGAGAAATATTAGGCTATGGTGGGAAACTGAGCTGGAAGGAGAGAGGGTCCGACATGAGGGAAGGGTGCCTCATGGTGTGGGGTTTTGTGTTGTGTTGGGACCGCGTGTTGGAAATAACATGGCGGATAGTTCGGACAACGACATTGCTCCCCATATATGAGATGGATTTGGGGCAGCCTGTACTAAACCCGGGCAAACGTCGGGCCGGGCCGGGTTTCGGGCCGGGCTTGTAAAAGCCCGACCTTCATTTCTCAAGCCCGAGCCCAACCCGAAGCCTAAAATACTCCCTGTTTTCAAGCCCGAGCCCGGCCCAAAATCAAGCCCGAAGCCCGAAAGCCCGGCCCGAATGCTGTTTTTTAGTACGCGCACGTGCAAGCCCGGCCCGAAGCCCGAAAGCCCGGCCTGAAATACAGAAAAATTGAAGCTCGAGCCCGGCCCGAATTATCTTTCGGGCTGCAAAACAAAGCCCGAGCCTGGCCTGAATGTCAAGCCCGACCTGGCCCGGCCCGGGTCGTCGGGCCGGGCTGCCCATGCCCGGGTTTAGCCCGGACTGTCCAGTCGGTTGAGTTTTGAGACCGTTGGGCGCCCATTTGAAGTCCGAACATGCCCGGACGTACGAGGAAGAAATGAGTTTCGACCATAGAGGTGACCTTAATCATTTATTTGATTCATTTATATACATTATAGCCCGTAGCAACGCACGGGCATTCTACTAGTACCTATAGTGAAATAGCTGTAAGGACTTATATTTAGGAACAGAGGGAGTATATGAATTTTTTTTCTTAAGATTTCTTTACATTATAAAAATTTCCTTATTCAAACCTATTAGTGAGAATCCTTTGTTTTTTATTTTCCTATGGCGAATAAAATAAAATTTTGGCACAAAGAAAATCATGCAGGATTAGAATAAGCATGGGATTTGCAATCTTGTGTTTTTATTTCTCTGTAAATCGCAGAAACATTCAATAGTTTTCGTTATTATTGGAGGCGCTAATCCACAATGCCAACACTTGTTCGTGAGTCCATGAGTCCCAATGACCAAAGTTTGATTTTTTTTAGGCAAATGACCAAAGTTTGATGAACACCTGTTCTACTGTAGGTGCACCAACCGATCTCACCGTACCCATGAAGCCCTGGCGTGGCCCTCCGGCCTTCACCGAGATCGGCACTGGCACCGGCGCCGACGCGTCCGGGAACAGACCGACCGCCCGGGTCGCCCTCATCGAGGCGACCCAAGCGGTGCCGCCGCACCGAGGGCTCCCATCACTCTGGCGCTGGCAGGAGGCGGACTGGCGGAGGGCACTCCAGAAAGATTCTTTCTGATTAGACCCATTTTTTGCGAAATCTTTCTGATTAAACCTTTTTTGCAAACTATTTTTTTTGTGAAACATTTTTTGAATTTTTCTTATATTTTTAAAAATTCATGAACATTTTTTCAGATTCACAAACATTTGTTGACTTGGCGAACAAGTTTTGAAATTCCTGAACTTTTTTGAATTCACATTTTTTTTAAATTTCGTGAACTTTATTCATTTCTTGATATTTTATGAAATTTATGAACATTTTATTTTGTGAATTCGTGATAGTTCACTAAAGTTATGGGATGGAAGTACTAATTATGATATTTGATAACATGGAAGGGTTATAGCATGAAACTTTATTACACTTGGAGGAGATTGAAAAATATCACATGACACCATGATCGCAAGTCAAATGTTTGTAAATTAGGAAACAATCAATTTTGCCTTCTCTCGTTGCTATGGGTGTATTAGGCATCTTTAGTCATACCATAACTTAGATGACAGGCGGTAGTTGCGTGGCCGCCAAGTGGGACCGCGGCGGACACCGAAGGGACACGCGGCGTGTCCATTTCGTGTCCGTGCCAATGCATTTCAGGCGCAATTTTGGGCCGGAAATGGGTTCGTGCGGACGCGAAGCGAACGGTTTTTCGAAATGGGTCGGTGCGTTGGGCCAATTTTTTTGTCCGCGACAACCCAAACGGACATGGGTTGCCCCGTTGGAGTTGCTCTTAGGCCCACAAAAAGTATTTGTATTAAATAGGAGTACGTATTTCTTTTAGGTATATCGATCAGTGATTGGTTGAAGTGTTCTCGTGTCGTGCACGACCAAAGACTATAAGATGTGCAGCTCTATTTGGATTGACTCGCCCCTTATGTTGGGGTGGTTAGCGCGCTGCTAGTTGCAGGCTAACTTGTGCGCGAGGTCTGCGGTTCGAAACCCCTCAGCTGGATATTTTGTTGTTTTGGTTTATTCTTTCTTTGTTTCTTTCTTTGTGACACTGACATACAGGCCCAGTTTCACGTCAGCAACTGTAGAAGCACGTTATAACGGCAGGAGATGACGCACCGGCAGAATAGACGGAAATGGACTAAAATGTTCTGTTAGCAAAGTTGTTGTACTACTTTTGTGGGGTTTTTTAGTTCTTGTATGAACTTGTTCCCACCAGGACAAGTTTATGTACTAGAAGTGGTATTAACTCAATATAATAAGTTGTTGGAAAACACATCTCAAGATAATGAAAAATTTCTGAAAAAATCACGATATAGGTACCATGCACATCAATTATGATATAAAATTTCAAACTCAAATCCATCCACAACTTGAAAAAAGTAACCCAAATCAGACAATGAATGGTGCCAAATTCGCATTCGGGTTGAATAATATCATATTGGTGCACTTCATTTTTGTTTCTCGGTCGATGAACAAAATTTGGATATGAAGTTTTGAGAAATGGTAGATCTATATTGTCAATAAAGTCTATGGCTTCTTGGATTGAAATGAATTTTCTAAGAATTTTGGAGGATTGGAATCCTTACTAAATTATTCTATATGGGTTGTTTGATTTGTATAATTATTAGATCTATATGAATTTTTCTTAGGATTTCTCCACATTATAAAAGTTTCCATATTCAAACCTATCAGTGAGAATCATTTGTTTTCCCAAAGAAAATCATGCAGGATTAGAATAAGCATGGCATTTGCAATCTTGTGTTTTTATATCTCTGCAAATCACAGAAACATTCAATAGTTTTCGTTATTATTGGAGGTGCTAATCCACAATGCCAACACTTGTTCGTGAGTCCATGAGTCCCAATGACCAAAGTTTGATTTTTTTTTTTTGAGGAAAACAACCAAAGTTTGATGAACACCTGTTCTACTGGAAGTGCGCCAACCGATCTTACCGTACCCACGAAGCTCTGGCGCGGCCCGCCGGCCTTCACCGGCACCGGTACCGGCGCCGGCGCGTCCGGAACAGGCCCACTGCAGCCTTCCACATGCCCGCGGGGTCGCCCTCACTCATCGAGGCGACCCACAGCGGCGCCGCCGCACCGAGGGTCCCCATCACTCTGGCGCTGGGTTATCCGAGGCCGTACTGGCGCTGGCAGGAGGCGGAGGGCGCGGATCTATGGAAATCATCTCTGAAAGATTCTTTCTGATTAGACCTGGCTTGCTCTGACCTGATGAGTGATGCCCTGCTCTGTTCACTCGATTCGACACTGTAAGTGAAATCCATGCGGAAAAAATTCCTCTCCCCGCTTCTCCTGTCATTAACAAGCTTTACTTGTTATTTGTTGTTCCTTGGAGTGACAAATGATGTACATTATGAGCTCCTGAATCATTGGCACTGAAGCTACAATGTATAATTTCTTGTAGCATCCTTGTTTTGATCCATGTTGTCGTTTTTGCTACTCTGCACTGCACCACAAGATACTGACAGAATCTAACTTGTACTCCAACACCCACTGGGTCTTTACACTCCTTGGCATTGCTAAAAGTAGGAAAATGATTCCAGCAGATGTCACTAGATTCCTTCTGCTCAGATTCGAAAAGTTCTCGATTGGAACCATGTCATGATTTCATCTGCATCTCTCTGAATAACTTTTTAAACGAGACTCTATTTTCAACGGAAGATATCATGATAACAAGACCCACAAGTATCAGCTGGTATGGTGTGTATCTGCATATATGTATACCCTTTTGCTCTGAGTTTGGGCATCGTTGGCATTGTGGCTGCTTCTCTGCCGAAGTATTGGTGGTTCTTGGCAAAGGTAAGAGGCTTCTGGTCTTTCTATTCTCTACATCCTTAGAGCATAAGCTTGCTGCAGCTTAAGATCATGTTTATGGTCTTCTGATCCTATTTTAGGCTGCTCTTTTTCTCCGGGCTTGGGGCTGCTTCTCTGCAAAAGTATTGGCTTGTTCAAAGAGCTCCTGGGCAAAGGTAAGAGGCTTCTTGTCTTTGTACTTGCAACATCTTTAGATCATAAATTTGCTATACCTTTAGATCATGTTTATGATGGCACACAGGAACCTAAAGTGCATAGCTTACGTTCTATTTGTCCTGAAATTTAAAATGGTTCTAGTATTAGACACTTTTCTTTGATTTAGCTGGCATGATGCATGCGCATCCATGTGAAGTTGGAACAAACTGCTGGTAATAACTCATATTACTACATCTTTTTATTTTCCTCTTAAAGAGGTATTGGCTGTTGGCAAAGATGTGTTGGCTTCTTGTCTTTCTACTAGATCATAAACTTGCTAAACCTATAGATCACCTGAAGTGCATAGCTTACTTCCTGTTTGTCCTTAAAAAAACTTGCTCCAGTATTGGACACCTTTCTTGGATTTATCTGACATCGAATATATGCGTCAATGTGAGGTTGGAACAGACTGCTCATAATAACACACACTACTACATCTTCATATTTTAGGCTGCTGTATCTTACATTTGTCATGGCACCGGATCAATACCATGAGCAAGGTAACAGGAGTGGTCACAACATCAGCAGCAAATCCTTTCAAAGATGTGAGGGCTGCGATGCACATTACTATTGGTGTCATATGGATGATACCCAGAAGTATTTCTTTAAGTGCATGGTTGGCAATTTCCAAGATAAAATGGCAAGCCCTCGTGCATCGATGCCCTTTCTCTCCTTCAGATGGAATTCCATCCCTGTTCAGAATGATAACTTCGTTGTTTGCGTGTTCATGCAGACCATACCACAGAAGTTTGTGGAGAATTTCAAAGGTCAGATCTCTGAAGTTATCAAGCTAGAAGCACCTGATGGAAACATATTCAACGTTCAGGCTACCAAGGATCTAAACAAGATAGTCCTGGGATCTGGATGGGGGGTATTTATCAGCTTTTACGAAGTAAAAGAGGGCTATTTCCTGGTCTTTAGGTACATGGGGGCTTCTCACTTCAAAGTTCTGGTATTTGATTTTGCAAGTTGCTGTGAGAAGGAAGTGTTACACGTTCTCATGAACTACGGTCCTAATGCCCAAGAAAAAGACATTCGTCTTGATCAATCGCCGCTGAGTGAAAGGCGATGCCAGAATGGTGGATCAAGCAACGGTGGGTCCCATCGAAGGTGCGAGCACTGCGATGTGCATTTCTATTGGCATCACATGGATGATAGGCAGAAGCATTTCTTGAGGCTCATGTTTGGCGATTTCCGTCAAGAAATCGTAAGACCCTGTATAATCAATGCCCTTCCTGCCGCCTTGATGAAATGTCTTCTTGATCAGAGATATATAATTTGCTAATTGTTTTGTTGTTTGTTCCTGCAGAGTATACCAGAGAAATTTGTGAACAATTTCAGAGGCAGGATATCTAAAGTTATGAAGCTAGAAGCTCCTGACGGAAACGTATACAACATTCAGGTTATCAATGATCTGAACAAGATATTCCTTAGATCTGGATGGGCAGCATTTGCCAGTGCTTATGAACTAAAAGAGCATGACTTGCTGGTGTTCAGATACATTGGGGACTCTCACTTTAAAGTCCTAATATTTGACCCAAGTGGTTGTGAGAAAGAATTATTCCACATTGTCATGAACCACACTCCTAATCTACCAGAAACGGGCATATCTCATGATCAGCCATTCCTCAAAGAAACAAGGCGTCACTGCGAATCACGTGATTATAACAGTAGGAAAACTAAAAAGATGACTCCGCTGGACTCTCCTTCACCGAGATCAGGTAAAGAATTGAAGAGTTGCACGTATATTCTCATTGGTACCTGTAAATTGCTAACTGATGTCTTGATGATCGGTGTTGTGCAGCTGAAGGTGTCAAATCTCCAGAGGACACCCTGAATTCAGGTGGCCTTCGGGAAACCACCAAGCCTCGCTATGTTCTAGCAACGGGGTGCAATCTGACTACAGCGCAGAAGGCAGAAGTCGACGCGCTTGTGAGGAAAGTTAGGCCTGCTATTCCGTTTTACATCAAAGCCATGAGCAAGACAAGTATCTCTGGATCTCTGGTATGTGTGCAATATCTTCTACAGATTCAGTGAGACTCCTGCAAAATTTGTCATTTAATGTTCAGATCTCTTGTCTAAATTTTGTTGGAATTTTTAAAATTATAGTATCTCTTCGTAAATTATAATCTTCAATAAATTTCAAAGCCTGATGATCCAGTCGTCTCTCATAGGTCATCTGCAAGGATTACGCTGCCAAATACCTTCCAGATGGAGACCAATTCATCACACTCTGCCATCCTCATAAGAGCAACATATGGATAGACAATTTGAAGGTTATCACTGATGGTTCCCGCATGCTTTCTGTTGGCTGGTCTTGCTTCGTTCTCCACAACGAGTTGCGGGAAAGTGACATCTGCCTATTTGAAGTATGGAAAAGCGACGGTGACGTGACAATGGTTGTTCATTCTCTCGAAGGAGGTCATCACCTACAAGGTGAGTATGAAACACATTGACACCTGAACATATGACATTATAAAATAATGCTCAGGATCGCCAACTTAAAAAAAATGAAATTATGAGTCGACTTAGAAATAGATACCTTTTTGTTATGTAGCCCGAAAATGCACAAGCCTGAACCAGTATGGAATGGAGTGAGCTAGTGTCGCTTTACTTGATCATTTTGGATGCCCATTCGTGTTTTTACAGGGAAAGAGCCCGAATCTCAGAAAAAGCGTAGATATCCAGTTAAGGCCGAGGCCACCGAGGATGAGGAGAGTGACAAGGAACATGCTGAGTCCAACTACTACTACTCAAGGCACGCCAATGGCCTGACCAGCGATGAGCAAGAGGATATATTCAGGTCAGCGTTGATCCAACAGGGCAATCCCGTGTACGTCGCCGTCCTGGGGAAGAATCACGTTAAAAAGGGGAACAACTTGCTGGTAAGTTCAGTTGTTCTACTAATCACAGACTGGATTACCTAGATGGTTTAGGAAACTGTCTCTGATAGACATTCTGAACCGTCTGCCACGAAGATTTCTGTGGTAGTGACTTATGTTCTGTATGCAGACCATCCCTAGAAAGTTTGCAGCAAAGCATCTCGCGGCGAGGTCACATGACATCCTGCTCCTGAGACCCAACAGGGGAAAGAAGTGGTGCGTGAGGTACTACTACCATTCGAGCTTAAGGGGTTTCAGCAACAGTCCATGGACCAAGTTCGTCCGCGACAACAAGCTGCAGGAGGGCCACGTCTGCGTCTTCGAGCTGATCAAAGGGGTGCGTAAGGCGACGATGATTGTCCACGTGTTCAGGAAGGTTGATGGCAGGCTTGTTCTGCTGGACTAACTAGCTAGGCTCCTGCGTAGCTGTATCCTTCTCAATTTGTCGTTGAATAATTGAAACCTGTTGCCACCGAGAGCTGAACTGGGAGTAGTTTATGTACGAGGCAAGTGCACTAATATGGTTCCGGTAGAACTAGTTGTTGAGCCATACCGTGTGAATGTTCATTCCTGATCTGTTCAGGCGTCACTGTGATTTCAGAAGATAGAGAAGTATTTCGGCACCATGCCAACAAATCTAGTGCTCACTCCACTGAAATTCTCATGAATGTAAGCTCAGTTGACTGAAATTTTATTGAACCTAAATTGAGTATCAGCTAGTGCATATTTTACTGAGGGCTGCTACTCAACTAATCGACGACGAGAAGTTGTAGCATGTAACTTGTGTGTTCATGTTTAATTTCGCAGTAGGAGGTTCTCCTACTGTTCGGGGTTCACAAAAAAACTTGTGTGTTCATGTATCGGTTCTTTAAGTGGTGATCGATTATGAAAAATTAATTGCTCGTTGCAGTGATCTGGTTCTGGCTATTTTAATTCAGCAATGGCTTACGGTGATGCCTGCCGCTGGAAATCTTTTGATTCTTTTTATATACATAAGTTCAGTGAGCAGCATGCATGTTTTCCCTCTTGTTTTGCAAAGTAAGAATTAGTATCTCTGGTTCTTTCCAGTTCATAATCATATCTGGTTTCGGAAATTTGGAAATATGTGAAGCAAATTGGCAGAAGTTGCCGATCACAACATAAACAGCAAGAATCAAGCGGTAATTTATTCTGTTTATGAGATTGAGATCGAGGGGGGATGAGTACTTACGAATTGATATACAGGTGCTAGATGAGGACTTACAAATTGATATGATCCTAGCATATTTTGTTACTATTGTTCTTATTGTCGATGGCAATGAAAACAAATTTAGAATTTCGAAATAACATCTTCTCGATTTGATTTGTGGATGGGCTCGTAGCTCAGTGGTGTCGCCCCACTGACCTAGGTTCAGCCCCTCTTCAAGTCGAAATTAGCGTCTAGCATTCTCTCTTAATATCTGGTCTCGTTTCTTTTAACTTCTTCTCGGTTCACCGAATAAGTTAGATCACATCTAATTACTTGAAACCACATATAACTTGTTTTGCTTGCGTTGGTAATGCTGGCAAAAGATAATCTGAAGAAAAAAAGGAATTGACAAGGATGCACCAAGTGTTGCTTTTGTGGCAATGAAGAGTCCATTCAACATCTATTCCTTCACTGCTCACTTGCTAAACTATTAAGCAATCTGTTCATATAGCTTTTAATCTACCGCCACCTGTAAGTAGTATGAATATGTTAGGAAACTGGCTAGTGGGGGTGCATCCCAAATTGAAGTCTCAGATCCATGTGAGAATTTCTGCTTTACTTTGGGTCATTTGGAACACTCGTAATGATTGTATTTTTAACAGAACAAAAGTTTCAAGAAAAATGCAGGTTATCTTTAAGGCCATCGCCTAGATCCATATGTGGTCATTACTATCCAAGGGGGAGGATCGGGCGCCCACGGACTTTGGGTGTAGCCCATGGGAGATAGTCTCTCGGGATTTATTCAACCGATTTGGTTGGCGGCCTACTAATAGGATTTGTGATGCATGAGGCTCATTTTCCTTCGATTTCCTCTTTTTTAGTTGTCAGTTGTCGTTGGGGCACCTAGGTATGGCTTTTTTTTGACAAATTTTATTGTGATTGAGTGATGAACTTTGAAATAATCAATAAAAGGTTGCATACATCACTCAATGCAGAGGACGAGGGGCATCCCCTCTTTTAAAAAAACTATACTCCAGGCCATTCCATCTATGCATAGCTATGCCACACAAGGTAAAACTATGCTTCCCCCTAGACATGGGATTCCTCTACATTATTAAATTTCCATAATTCAAACATATTAGTAAGATTTTTTGTTTTTGTTTTTCGACCCTAATAACTGGGAAACGTCAGCTCTAGAGGGGGGTTTCGGCCAACGATTCGTTCTCCTTGGAGGGATCGATCAAACGAATGATTATGTTCGATAGAACGAAACCCCGAGGGCAAACCCCTCCCTCTCTGTACGATGTTCTCCTAAGGAGCTCCAATTGGGCCAAAAACATCCAATTTGCTAGTACTACTACCAAGCCAAGCCCAAAATCTGGTACTTGGACATGTTTTGAATATGCAAAATGGATCAGATAAAAAAATGGCATCACATATCTATATTTATATCTATACCAATATAAAAAGATCCAAATGGACAGATTTAAACCATCTCGACCGTCAAATCATGTTATCTAGCGGTTCAAATTGCTCTAATGTTAAGCACCAAACACATTTAACGCTCTAATTACTCACCACTGCCATTGGTTATAAACACGTTTTGACTCAACGTTATCCCTTAAAATCTGCCATGTAATTAATATCCTACCATTCTTGTGAAAAAGTAATTGATATCTTACCAAATACCAACATACAATAGATATATCTTACCTGATATAACGTGCAACTAATATCCTACCTAATATAAACGTGCATTGCACGTACATTATTACTAATATATGATAAAAATGCCATCATATGCAGGATCAGATAAAAAATGCTTTAAAAGTTAAATTTGTAATGTCTTGATAATACAAAAGGACTAATTGGTGGGGGTATGTTCATACAAAAGTCGGCATATATGAGATTTTATAAAATATCTTATACAAATAAAGGTTAGCCATGATGTTTCATAAAAAGATGATGGAAAACCATTGAAAAGAAAAATGTGAAAGTTAAAACTTTTTTCATGGTAATACGTGTCTCATTTGTACTCCCTCCGTCCCAAAATAAATGTCTCAACCAAAATAAGTGTCTCAAGATTAGTATAACTTTGTATTAAAGTTAGTACAAAATTGAGACACTTATTTTGATACGAAAAGAGTATATCATAACGATCATAGTACACACCGACCTGACAAAACCAAAAGACAACAGATCGCTAACCTTTGCATAAAGGAACACCAGGTAAGAAGTAAAATTACAATCAAGACCGACAAATCCACTGAGCTTGACACCAACGCCCATCACCTACCTCTGTGTAACGCCCACGATGCGACTATATCTCTCATGTGTCGGGGCACGACTTAGAGGCATAGCTGCATGGTGGTTTTGTCGCAAGAGGGGTAATCTTCACACAATCCCATGTACCGAATAAGAAAGGGATAAAGAGTTGGCTTACAATCGTCACTTCACACAAATAGCAAGTTAAACATACATCATCCAGAGTACAATCAAGGTCCGACTACGAAACCAAAATAAAAGAAGACAACCCCAAATGTTAGATCCCCGATCGTCCCAACTGGACTCCACTACTGATCATCAGGAAACGAAACATAGTAACGATCCAGATCCTCGTCAAACTCCCACTTGAGTTTGGTAGCATCACTTGCACTGGTATCGTCGGCACTTGCAACTGTTTGGAAGTATCCTGAGTCACGAGGACTCAGCAATCTCACACCCGCGACATCAAGACTATGTAAGCTTATGGGTAGGATAAGGTAATGAGGTGGAGCTGCAGCAAGCGCTAAGCAAATATGGTGGCTAACATACGCAGATAAGAGTAAGGTGAGAAACTACGCAATGGCCGAAAAGCTATAGGTGATCACGAAGTGATCCTAAAACTACTTACGTTCAAGCATAACACAAGACCATGTTCACTTCCCGGACTCCGCCGAAAAGAGACCATCACGGCTACACACGCGGTTGATGCATTTTAATTAAGTCAAGTGCCATGTTCTCTACAACCGGATATTAACAAATTTCCATCTGCCACATAACCGCGGGCACGACTCTCGAAAGTTTATACCCTGCAGGGGTGTCCCAACTTAGCCTATCACAAGCTCTCACGGTCAACGAAGGATATTCCTTCTCCCGGGAAGACCCGATCAGTCTCGGAATCCCGGTTACAAGACATTTTGACAATGGTAAAACAAGGCCAACAAGACCACCCGACTGTGCCGACAAATCCCGATAGGAGCTACACATATCTCGTTCTCAGGGCACACCGGATGAGACAAGCTACGAGTAAAACCAGCCCTTGAGTTTCCCCGAGGTGGCCCCGCAGGCGGCTCAGTTCGGACCAATACTCAGAGGAGCACAGGCCCGGGGAGGGGGGGGTTAAAATAAAGATGACCCTTGGGCTCGCGAAAACCCAAGGGAAAAGGCTTAGGTCGAAAAATGGTAAAACCAAGGTTAGGCCTTGCTGGAGGAGTTTTATTCAAAGCGAACTGTCAAGGGGGTCCCATAACCCCAACCGCGTAAGGAACGCAAAATCAAGCAATATAACACCGGTATGACGGAAACTAGGGCGGCAAGAGTGGAACAAAACACCAGGAAAAAGGTCCAGCCTTCCACCCTTTACCAAGTATATAGATGCATTAATTAAAATAAAAGATATTGTGATATCCCAACATATCCATGTTCCAAACATGGAACAAACTTCAACTTCACCTGCAACTAGTGATGCTATAAGAGGGGCTGAGCAAAAGCGGTAACATAGCCAAACAACGGTTTTCTAGGAAGATGGGTTAGAGGCTTGACATGGAAATATGGGAGGCATAATATAACAAGTGGTAGGTAGTGCGACATAGCGGTATAACGAACAACTAGCAAATCAAAGATAGAAGTGATATCGAGGGTATGGTCATCTTGCCTGCAATGTTCTCAGAGTTGTCGAAACATTGATCCTCGGTACCGTACTCAAAAGGTTCCTCGTTCACGTACTCGTCTCCCGGCTCTACCCAAAGAAAGAACACAAGCAATGGAACAACAATCAATCGCGGTGCAATGCACAAACAACATGATGCAATACATGGCATGACATGCAAGATATGATATGCAATGCATATGCGTGCTCCGGAAGGGAAAGAATGATCAAGGCATCAACTTGGCAAACCAAGTATGCTGCTGAAAAGATGAGATGATTTCGGTTGAAATCGATATAAGGATCACCGGAAACGGATGCACGGTTTACA